AGGCCAAGGCTGCAAGGGACACTGTCCAGTCCTGCCAGGGTCCAGGCCTGTCGCCCTAAGCCTGGGTTTCAGGACCTGAGGGGCAGCCCTACCACCTTCACCCTAGAAGCCTGGCGGGGGGCAGTGTCTTCTCGTCCCACAGCGGGGAGCAGGGCTCATCTCTGCCGGGCACCCTCCCCCGTCTCCTGCCCCCCCCCCACCAGCCTCAGGCTGACCCCGGCAGGCCCTGCCCCAGGGCGGCCCAGTGTGGACAGAGAGGTCCCGGCAGCTTAGAGAGAAGGAGGCGACAGCAGCGGCAGCAACGACAAGAACACAGACATGGGGTGGGGGTGGAGGAGGGCATACAGGCACCCGTGTCGCTCAGGGGTCCTCGGGCGGGCGCGCAGCTCTCCAGGAAGGGGACGCACATGTCACACGCTAGCCTGGCGGCCCTACAGCCGGCGCTGTAATGGTGGCGGCCTCTGGGCGGCACCCACCTTGGAGCCCCGCTCGTTAAAAATGATCTCCACGTCTAAAATTTTTCCGAATTGCTGCAGAGACAGAGAGGGGGTCGGGGGGGACAGGAGACGGTGGGTGAGGGCTGCTGGCGGGCAGCCTGCTCCCCGGACACCCTCACCGCTGCCCCTCTGCCCGGGCCCTCCCTCCGTGTAGCTGGGGGACAGGGACGCCTCCCGCCTTCTGTGGAGCCAGGACGAGGCCCGTCCACAAGCTGGGCTGTGCTTGGAGACAGGCGAGCGCCGCGTCACCGTCACCCTGTCCCTCCCTGCTCTGCCACAAGCTGCTGGCCGCCCCCCTAATTCACACTAACGGGTAAAGGACTATGGGAAGGCCCTTCCCCGTAGTGACTGGACCCCAGGCCCCTCTGCCCGACCGGGACACACTGGCCAGGGCACCTGACTGCCTTTCCCTTCCTGCCCTCTCGCTGGCACGTGAGAACATCAAGCTGTGACCAGGTCCCCCCCAAAGCCAGTGAGGTCCTGAGGCCTCCAGTGTGTAAAATGATGGGGCTCCCCTTCACCCCGAAACATCCCAGAGGTGGTGTCATGGGTCACAAGGCAACCCCAAGGCTGCCACAGAGCGGGAGGAGGGGCCGCCCTGGGCAGG